GCTCTTCTGTGGTTCCTTCCAAGATTTTAGTGATATCTAGAGGAACAGAGTTGGTTATCTGTGTTCAGTGGTCTATGTAACTTTCTCCCATTTTTTACATTTCCCATGGCATATGTCTGGGAAATAAGATTTCACAGTCTATTTCCTATTCTTGTAGGATCAGAATCTTACAGGGAAGCTTCACAGTTGAAAAGAATCCTTACAGCAAGGTAGGCATTCAGAAATAGCTTTTGTTCTTACAGAAAATACATATGCAAAACTAAATGGCCTATTTCCTGTCTCAGATCATGCACTGCCTCAGATCAGGGATTTTTCCATTTGTCTTTATATACAGACACCGGGAAAAAGAAATAATGAACAAGTGAACATTTAATATATTCAGATTGTGAATTTCAGATTGTGAATTTATTAAAATCCAGTTTCTATTCTAAAGTAGTTTTTCTTATTTCAAGAGATATTCATAGTGCCTGGTCGATGTTTTCAGTAGAGTCTTGAATCTAGAGCAACATGTCATTATTTCAGAATTGTCCTGCAGGGAGAGTCAACAAACTGCCCAAGTTGGATGTTGGGCTCAGACCTTGCTAAACACTCATTATTTGTCTAGAGAGAAGCAACTCTCTTTTGTGATTTTCAACTTAACCCTGGATTATTTACAAACATCTTAAGCAAACACTGTGAATACAGTAACTATAGTAACTCTGAAAAGGAAAGCAGTGAACCAAAACTCAAACTCTAGCAGAGAGGAAGCTACCACTCTTTGAGCTGAGGATTGAGATTTTCTAGGAAGATGTGTTGAAGGCCTAAAATTAGCTTCTCATTAACAAGCAAACAAAAAACTAGAGAACAAACAAAAGCCCTTTAATAGCCAAAACAGACATTGGAAGAAACAAGTTATCCCAACAGAGAAGGTCTCTGAAATAGATGTTATTTTCCATTTTCCATAGTTTGTTTTTTTGGGTAAGTGAAGGACATGGATGGATTTAAATTTTGCTCGTTCATTGCAGAAGATGGTTTATGTATAAATAACCTGTAGTCTTTTAACTCAATTTTGCTTCCTATTGAGAAGTAAGACCAAGAAAATCTGGGTATGGAACATTATTAAAAAAAAAAAAAAAACACCTCTTATTACAAACATTCCAACCTAACTGCATTGGGAGTTTTAAAGATCCATTAATTAATGTCTCAACCAACAACTTTTCTGTTAAACATCTTTTTTTTTAATACATATTTTCTAGATCTGTAAGGCATTCATGTGATTACACCCTTTTAAGCAGATCTTAGATAAAATATTTTAGGGCTATGATGTTAATTCTTTAGTTTTGACAAATATACCATGGCTATGTAAAATGTTACCATCAGAAATACCAGGTCAAGTGTATGGGGGAATAATTGGTATGATTGCAATTCTTCTTTTAATCTAAAATTATTTTAAAATAAAAGGTAAAATAATGTCAGGGGATTAGCTGTTTGGAGCCTCAAGTGACCTAGCTTTTTACTGACATCAGGGCTCCAGGATTAGCTTAAGGCCTCATGGTGTATTGGCTGTAGTCTTCTGTCTCCAAGCTCGATATTCTCCCACCTCTGTCTACTGCTAATGACGAGTGAACTACTTCTGCTTCACCTAAGCAGCTCATTCAGTGCTACCTGCTGGCACAAATCCAGGGATCTCCCTAAATTTATTCTACTTTCCTAAGACTAGAAGATACATGGGCACAAATGTGCTAGAACAGTAAAACTGATCTAACTGTAAAGCCAGAGGCTAGAAGACGTAGTCACCAGGTTCATTACCTATTTATTCAATATCCAAGGTCAATACCATTTAATTGCACAGAATAAAATGTGACACCATGAGTTGACAAATGTGAACCATCCACAGATGCACTGATCTGGGATAATGTATCAACTATGTTTGATTACCCTTCAATTGGTGGGAGATCCTCCACAAAGTGCCATTAAAATAAAAAAATCATAAGGATAAAGGGGCTAATTATCACAGTCTCAGTTCAGGCTATCAACCATCAACTTGCTAGGGGCAAAGACAAAGTCAGTTGTAGAATTATGTATTACAGTGTTTTTATGGTTCCTATAAGAAAATTTTATTTCTAGTTTCTATAGAAAATACCTACATCTTTAGAATAAACAATGGAAATGCAGCAATGACCAGTGGTCCTTATTTTGTTGCACTCAGACTTAGGAGATTCACTTGTAAATTTTGGAGATTCAGCTTTTTTAGGGCAAGGTCCTGGGGATTTCCATAGGGTCTACAGAGGAACATCATTATGGCTATAGAGTAATATGAGCAAATCATCTCTTCTTATTTTTTCATAATATGGATATCTAAAGTGGGCTGAGCGGATGCTTGGAGAGTTGTATTTTTGTTTGTTTGATGTGGGCTGGGTTTGGTTTTATACACAGATTTAGTTTTCTGTTTATTTTTTAAAAAGATTTTATTTATTTGACAGAGAGAAAAAAAGCACAAGCAGAGGGAGTGGGAGAGGGAGAAGCAGACTCCCTACTGAGCAGGGAGCCGATTTGGGACTTTATCCCAGGACCCTGGGATCATGACCTGAGCTGAAGGCAGATGCTTAACTAACTGAGCGACCTAGGGGCCTCTAGTTTTCTGTTTAAAGCAAAGTTATCCTAAATTCTTGACTCTTAAACTTTCCTGGTCTTCTAGGTAATGGAGAGCTTGCTCCATGGGGTGGGAGGTAACTGTATTATTTTTAGAGGTCAGTTTATTTCATTTTTAATTTATTGGTATTTTTTAAAATTTATTTTTAAAAATCATTTATTTTAGAGAGTGGGGAGGTGGAGGAACAGATGGAGAGGGACAAACAGACTCCTTGCTGAGTGCCCTCAATGTGGGGCTGGATTTCACCACTCCGGGATCATGACCTGAGTTCAAATCAAGCATTGGACGTTTAAACTACTGGGCCACCCAGGAGCCCCTAGGTCAGCTTCTTTTAGAGAGCATTTTTCTTTGGACTAATCAGGACTAACTACTGATTAGTTGTATTATAAAGAACCCTGCTCCCAAGGAGGTCTGTGAAAAGGAAGAGAACCAGGCCACATATTAGCTTGTCTCAAAAGGGCTCTCACATCATACATATGAGGATTCACCACAATCTCAGAGAATAAGCTTGCTCTTGGAATCCTAAAATACACGTTTCCTTTGGTGGAATTGCTGAAAAGATTCCAGCTTTAGTGCCTAATATGAAATAAAGGATCTAGCTGACAGAGTGGCAGGTAACTTCTGGCAGGTAGTAGCCCTGAGATGGAAGCAGCTGTTCTAGGGAAAAGTAAAGCTTTGCAATGTGGCATATAATGTGAAAACTATAGCCCACTGTATATGGGATTTTGATAAGAAAATGCTCTCTTTTTCCACCAATTATCATCTTCTTTTAGCCCTATTTATTTCCCTATATTTATAAAGACTTACAGGCTTAGCAAGAATGTCAGGGGCTTCGTAATGAGGTGATAATAGTCCCCACTTACTGAGCGTGTGCTTCTGTTTAGGGAAACACAAACTCCAACATAGCTGTTGCTGTTTTAGCAAGACACAGATCTCAGGGCCGCGTCTCAGAAGAGTAGATACAGCTTGTGTAATACAAACACATTTGCTAATGTTTGATGTCTGCTATTAAACATTCAATGTTATTTATGATGATTTATGATTGGTTTTAGTTAAAAGAACTACAAGAAATGAAGAAAGCCATTATTCACTGAGTTCTTCATGGCTCTGAGCGAGGTAGGGAAGCTAAAGGGACTCCATTATAGAGTGGCTCCATCTCTGCTAGGCCCCATTTCTGAATAAGTCAAAGCAGCTAACTTCTCACTTCAAGGGGGAAGCTAGAAAGTTAATCATTCTTTGAGTTTTGTCCTAGGTTCCAAACACCTAAGAACTCCTAAGAAGAGCCAGATCCCAAACATTTCCCAGGACATTAGCTTCCAACAAACCTCAGCTGACACTGGCATCAATGCTCCCTATATTGTGGAGTAACACCTGTTGTTTACCTGACACTTGCCTTTGATCAGAACCTGCTCTGGATTCCTGGAGGAACACATACCCTAGACCCCTTTCCAATATTAGCCCTCAACCCCAAGTCATGTCGAAACTCATTCTCTTTCCTTTCTGGGTCTCTCCCAGACACTCTGTTTGCTATTTTATGTTGCTCATGCTATTCAGTAAATTATGCTTTCCCTCTCCTGGCTTGCATTTGATTTCTATCCTGCATAAAGCCAAGGACCCTCTCAGCTGGTCTTGCAGGAGCCCCCACTGGGTCCCAGTCTGCCTGCATCATAAGTATATAGCAAAAAATAGTTATATTAGTGTCAACATACCATATTTTTAAATGTATCTCCTTTTTGGAACCAAGGATGGTCCTTTGGTGGCTGGAGTGGTTTTTAGGCCTGTTTGTCTGTATGTATCTATTGTTCTTTTTTGTTTTCCTTAGTTGTTGGTACTAAATATACAGCATCTCAGAGTCCTTTTCTGCTAAAGGCAGTACAATTATGGATATTTGAAGATTAACACCAGTACATGGAATATCCACAGAAAGTAGCTCTAATACCTTAATACTTCAACTGATAGAGAGCTTGTTATATACAAACAAAAATCTGTATAGTATTTAGACTTTAGTTTCTTGTTCGTACCACTTTTCTTTGGACTGATCAGTACCAATTACTAACTAGTTCTGTAACTGCTTAGGTTTTTGGTACCACAAAATACAGCAGGAAACAAACGCTGTGAATGAGTGAATCCCAAATCTCATAATTACAAGGCTGGCAATCTCCTCCTCCAGACCCCCAATCTTCTTAAGTTCTCTGAGAAAATTTTCTCTTGGATGTAGCTTATCTTCGAATTCTTTCTAATCTCTCCAAGTTTGTATATTCATGTTGTGATGCCTGTTACATTCCATACACTCAAAATGAATCATCAGTCAGTTGCTCAGACAAAGGAAATAGCCACTAATCAATGCAAACCATAGTCAGAAGTTTACCTTAGTTCCTTGAAGGGGTCTGCCCTGACATTAGGTGTCTCTATAGATTTAGGGAACACTGTGCCCTCCGCTCCTGTAAACAAAAGAAAAAAGTAAACAGAGGTTGGAGACTTTGGACATGTCACCTGGAGGCACAATCAACACAATGAAGGGAGCTAAATGTAGTGAATCCTTCATACAACCCAAAGCACGGATTTTGCCAGCGGCTTTAGCTCCATGATAGGGGAGCACTAAATCAACTCAGGCAAACAGCCTTTGAAAAAACAAGGAAATTCTTTTGAAAGTGTTCTTGATGAGATCAGAGTGAGGCCATGAGGCAAATACTATGTCGACTTCTTAAAAAAAAAAAATGAAAAAAAAAGAAAAGAAGATGCCTAAGAAATGGCACAGTTTAACTTGTGTCTCTCATCAACTATTAATAGTCATCCAACTGGAAATGTTTTTGAAAAACAGCAGCTGAAGCCTCTTATTGCAGCGCAGAGCACAAATCACAGAACACATCCAACATCTAGGTAGTGGGTGGATGGTGGAGAACACCGTCACACTGTGAGGTGTCCATCTAATGAAATTAAGCAAACAATTTTTCAGTAAATAAAATTCTACACTATTATCTTGAAAAGTTAAACAGAACACTATGAAAGATGATTTGAAGTTCACTGCTTTTACACTTTGAGTATTAACATTGATCCCCAGCCCAATCTAGACATTTAGCTCTTGACTTTGCAATAAGCTTTTATCTTTACAACTTGTCATCACCAGCTGAACCTTCCCAGCCATAAAGATGGTGATTATCTGATTTGTCTGCTCCCAGAGTGTTTTCAAATCATTTAAGCCTCAGTTTATCAAAGACAATTGCACTGGATATTAGTTTTTCAATTAAACTTAGCTAGGCAGTATCCTGTACTTTGAAGTAAAGGTGTTTATTTTTATACCTTATTTGGTGTATTTCTTTGATGCAACAAAAAGGGGCAGAGTAGTATCTTGTAATCAGGTTTAAATTTCTGGAATCCTCTTGCATTGTTAAAATGTCTAGAAATCCTCCATTAACCACTGTTATTCCAAATCCAGATTTATCCTAGCATACTGATGAGTCTAGTGAAATGAACCTGTATAGTAACTACAAAAGTATTTAATCTTTTGGGGGAAAGTATTTAATCTTTCTGATATGAGTAATAGACTACTGCAAATAAAATCAGAAAATAATGCCTCAACTTGACATTATATGTGGTCATTTAAAAGAATATCCTGGTGAATGATAACTATTCATCTAAGTTAACATTATCATTGATATCATTATGTCTACTTCATATGCACTAGCTCAATTATCCCTCGCAACAACCCTACAGACAGTTGCAGTATGCAGAGACATTTGGTGTAGGGACATTTAAGATCTTTATCTGCATGTAGGTACTTCTACCTTTCAAGACCCCAAACCACATCATTTCAAATGGATCAAAATGTATCCATAGTTTCCATTCAACACAACTTTTTGATGTAAATTTCCTAAGAATGTTGTTTCATTATACATAAATTATTTTGCCCTTGTGTTTTAAGCTTTATTGTCTTTTTATAAATGTGGTGGTTAATTTATGTGTCAGCTTCACTTGGATCATAAGGTACCCAGATATTGGGCTAAACATGATTTCTGGGTGTGTCTGTAGGGTGTTTCCAGATGAGAGAGAGGCACGTGAATCAGTGGATACAGCAGAGCAATCCATCCTCCCCAGTGCTGGTGGGCATTAGTCAATTCTGTTGAGGGCCTGAACAGAACAAAAAGGTGGAGGAAGGAATAATTAGGCCCTTTATGCCTAACTGCTTGAGCTGGGATATCAATCTTTTCCTGCCCTCAGCATACCTTTTTCTCAAGCCTGCAGACCCAGACTGGAATCTACACCATTGACTCCACTGGTTCTTAGTAAGCCTTAGGACTCACTCTGATGTCACCAGCCTTCCTGGGTCTCCACCTTACAGATAGCAGGTTATGGGACTTCTTAGCTTCTATAATGACATGAGCCAATTTCTTATAATGAATCTCTTCCTCCATGTATATCCATATTGGTTCTGTTTCTGAAGAACTCTGATACAATAACTGAATAAGATTGGGTTGGATTCTAGACTATAATGTAGCATTTGTTACCCATATATTAAATTTGGTTTGACAGAGCATGCATTCCACATCTCCAACATTTCTGTGATCCTTTGAGGAAGACCTAGATCAAAGTTACTGTGGAGGATGCCTAGTGGGTAAAACAGGCTGGTAGAAGTCACAGGATGATGAGCAACACATTGGGATGTGGTTCTAAAGTGTCTGTGACTCAAGAGCATGGACTAAGCTACCACATCTCAGTACTATCCCAAACCTGTTACTAAACAGCTCCCATTTGTCACTACTGCAGTTAACACAGGCTTCCTTTGAGATTCTTTTCCTTTCTATTTCTTAGAAATGCTTAGTTCTTACCCTTTGGAACCTGTCTTTTTTTTTTTTTTTTTTTTAATGATGAAAAGGAACACATATACCTGATTAAAGCTACAATGGTTATTTCTGTTTATTTACATTGTATACATTCTTGAGTCCCAGCTCATATCTCCCCTTCCTCTACTAAGAATTCTATGAAAACTGCAAGAGAAAGAGCATTATTACCTGTTATAAAATTAGCCTTAATTGTGTGACTTCCCCATATGACAATTAGTACTACTAATAGACAACCTTCATTATCTGAACCGGTATTAAAATGTTGTGAAGCTTTATGTTTTACTGATACCTCCTGCACCCTTCTATCATTTCATAAGGCCTCTGAAGCCAAAGAATACCTATTTCACAAATTTCGATTATGCAAAATATATACATACCTAAGGATATATGTTGCATTTATTCAGTCGAATTGTCCAAGAATGAGGAGTGGCATTTTTTTTTATGCAAAATGAACCTCAGAAGCCTGCACACCATTTTATTTATTCCATCCATACTTTTGCTGAGCCTGTTTTCCCCATTTGTCAGATACACTAACAAAACTTCACTTGCTAACATCTGGCTGCACTGAGCTCAAGAAGGAATCACCCTACTGCAGCTGGTGGTCCCTAGCCTGGCCATCCTTTTAAAGCAATTCCAAGATGGATAAAGGAAGGTTACATAAAGTCATCCAATACATTGCACTGTATGTTTGTGGAAGGACCATGGACTCTGAATAACTGAGCTTGGGTCCTCAGCTTTCTCAGATCTACAGTCCTATTTGCTGGGTGCCTTGGAGGAGTGTGTCTTGTTCTCTAACCTATCTCCATTGCCTAGCACAGTGTAGGTTCTCAATAAATATCTGTAATACAACTATAACACTAATGTAGCACTGAGCGCACACTACCTGGGATTTTTATTTACCTTACTGACATTTTCCCCATCTCTTCAATAAGACCCTAAGCTCTATGTGAGCAGAGGCAAGGTCACAGACAGAATACAAACATTGAATTTTAGGTTCTGAAGACTTCTACTAGACTCATTTCTAGTTGGTACTACCACTTCTATGGGATTGCTAATTTACTGTTATAAAATTCCTTATGTATTACATGACTAATTTAATAGATGTCCAAAATCCAACATATTTAACTGTACCTCTTAAAAGATCTATGTTAATAAAAGGATATTATTTGGGCTAAATACAAATATCTCTTTAAAGTAAAATGAGATCAAGCCTTGTAGTGTCTTCCCCAGACCAAGAAAACTAATCGACAAGACAAGTGGGGCTAAAAAAACATGTGGCTCATGGTCACATGACTGCTAGAGTTGAGATTCAGATGCAGGCACCTAACTCCAGGACCCATTTGCAGCCATCATACCCTAGTGCCTTATTTTCTGAATGCCCAGACAATGTGGCACCTGCAAAATGGCAAGCCAGCAAAACCAAGAGGACTGGGCTCTCATAGATAGAGGATGTAGGAATGGGACAGGTTCTGGATGTGTGATGAAAGTGAAGGGCAAGACACTCAGGCTCCCTTAGCTCCCACTGTCCAACCAGATGCCCTCTGGTTTTGTTTTTGATGGACTTTGCTACAGGGGCCCATATGTGCCAGCCATGCTAGAAAATAAACCCATAGATATGACTTCTCAGGGGAATGTACCACAATTTCTCATGATCTGAGTGTCCTTGGACATGAAAGCCAATCTCTAAGATGCTCAGTTTCCTTCTTAGAAAAGAAGGGGTATTAATAGTAACTTCATCTCCTTAGGGGTCTTGGGAGATTGAATGAGATCTCTGGCACATAGCAATCAGCAAATCATAGTCAATAAAAGACTTCTAGTAGTACTAAAATATTTGTGAATCCTATTCTTTACTCCTCTTACCTTTATGACTCTTAAAAAATAACATTTTTAAAGCACTTACTATGAAGTACAAACTATTGAAACTATTTTAAAGTTGATCATCAGAATACCCTTTGAGGTAGGGATGTGCATATCTGTTGTTATGGATGTGGAATCTGAGACTCAGGGAAGTCAGGAAATTTTCCTATGGTTGAGTGGTGGAGACAGGGAGTCAGAATTTGAACTCTCTGCTCTGGAACCAATGCCTGTGACCACTACTCTAGACCTCTTTCAGCAGATCAAATCACTCATTACTTGCTCATCTCTTTATGAAATATGAACAAATATCAATGTTTATACCCTCAAGTAACTTGCCAAATCTCCCATCACCTCTCTTTTAAAACCAATTCTCATGCACAATGAGAGGAGATATTAATACTTTCAAAAACACCATTTCTTTCCAAGTCCTATCAGGCTTCTGATTTTCACACCATTTTTCACTTTCTCAGAAGCTGCAGAGTGGACAAACATTCATCAGGATGAATTCTCCCATCCTATCCCCTATCCACTCTTAGATAATAAATTACTCTCAATTTTATTATTTCAAAAAGGTTTCTATTAAAGCCATACCTAGTGATTCCTTCTTTTGACACAATATAATTTACTGGCAATAAATGTTCATAAACAGTTTGAGTGAAAAATCCATAAAGCCATTTCAGCTTTATTTTAAGTTCCATTAATGTCCCTCAAAAATGATTTTGTCAATGTGTTTCCATTAGCTG